TTTATTGGAAATGCTTTTTTTGGTACTTATTTCTAATGATATTAGCATATATTTTCATAAGAATTATAAATTTATAATTGTAATTTATTTTACATTAAATGCATATGATTCACATAGAAATAATGTAAGATATATAATTTATACTACTCTGAAATAGGAATTATTTATAAGTATTGCAATCCAATACCAAATTGAAATTGTTGCAATACATCACTCCTGACAAATAATAAAGGCATAACTAAATTTAACTCTACTCTCGCTATATTTCCAAGTTTCATTGCAATACCTCCACCAACTGCACAACGAACATTTTCTTTAAAAATTTTCATATTTTCTTTATAATCATTAGCTGCAAATAATGAGAAATTATTTATTTCTTAAATGATTACAAATTAAAATGTAAAAAATACTTTAAAGATATCATACCAAATTTAAAAGTAAAATTGAATACATTTCCACCATTGATAAAACCATGCAATTTGAACAGATCACCAAAACCATTACGACCAGGTCTAAATGGTAATGGTGTGTACAAATGCAGTGCAAGAGCCCAATATGCATCACCACCAATAGAATTTCCATCATGGCGAGGTCCACAACCTCTCATATCAAATCCTCTCAGATTTAATGGTCCACCCAGAAAAAAATGATCAGCAATATTTATTTTCATGTCATTGCTAATTCCTCGAAGCAATCCAGATTGAAAACCCAGTTGGAAGGTCTGATAAAAATTTTTTAATTACACAAATTATATATAAAAAATAATTTTAAATTCGAAAATACTTGCTAGACATTCATATGGTGACCAATTAGTTTGCATAGTAAGTTCATTTTTAACAAATCCTATATCTCCGCCAAGACCAGCTACTTCTGTCGAAAATTGCACTAAACTTCCCATAGTAGGAAATATTAACGAATCCCTTTTGTCAATAGAACAAATATGTCGTAGAGCAGATTTTAAATTTGGACCACATTGCTCTCGAACGCGAAACGATACTTGTTTAGAAGAAATTATTTCCCTATATGTAGCTTCATATTGCAAATTATGCTTTAATGTACCTGCTCCATCTGGATTAAGACCAATATCTAATAAAAAACCTTTATCACATTGACTAAAACCAGACCATGGAAATCTATTTGATGTGTTAAACACACTACCAGTTAATCTATAAGAAAAATTATTAAATATAAATTTACAAGAACACTTATTTTTAATTATTAATTTTTAAAATGAAATAATCTTACATACACTGTATGACGCCAATTATCTATAAATGGCTTAACAGCAGATATACTTATATTAGTTGAACTTTTTGAACCATAAGAATATTCCATCTGTAAACGTTCTCCTCTTCCAAATAAATTGGGTGCTTTTGCATGAACAATAACTGAACCTTCATTATTTCCAACCATAGTACTAATTCCACCTGTTAAGCGTCTTATTTCACGTACCATAAAAGTGACCTGAAAAAGAACATGATTTTAAAGTTTCTTAAAAGAATATATATTAATTATTAAATAAGAAATTCATGAATGAACTGGAAAGAATTAAATCTGAGAAATTACTTATTTTTTGTTGAATTATTGTGTAATTATATAGACCCACTTCAACGCCTTCTGGGGTAGCACGAGGACCCTGACTGGTATCAATGTAAATTCCAATATTTCCAAAACATCCTAAACCTTGTAACTTTTCTCTCACTTTATAGGCACGTAAAACAACATCATAAAAATCTTGAGCTTTAAACAGTTCTATTACTTGAGCTTTTATTATATCATCTTTCGTTCTTATAAGCCCATCTACATGTATTCTGTCAACTCTTGCCTAATTTATAATATTTTAAAACTAGAGTTATTAATTTGTAAAATTATTAATTTAAAAAAATTAATGTTTTATATTTATATTAATACCTTTACTGAATGAAGATCAATGGGTTCCTCTTTCCTTTTTTCAAATAAATTCATCTTTTCCTGAAAATATAAGGATTAAAAATAAAATTTAATTATTTTATATATTTTATGTATTTATATTATAAAAAAATTAATAAAAAATATAAGAAATATTAAATATATTTTAAAAATATATATATATCACTTACAGAATTATTCTTTCTAAAATTTTGTTTTTCAGTATTATTACTTGAAGTTTCATTTATATTTCTGGACATATTTGATTCCTAAAACATTAAAAAGAAAAATGTAAGTCATTACATTATATTTTCGTTAACGAAAAAAATAATGAAAAGAGAATTTTAATTAACAAATACATAATAACAATCTGTATAATGAAATTAGAAGAATACAAATTTAATAAAATATTTTATAAAATTACTATATTCAAAATAATAGTACTTAAAATTATTATTAGAAATTACTCATGCTGTAAATTAATAGTTTTTATTTTAGGTTATATCATAATTTTCTAATAATACATGTGTACCTTTGCATGAACAGTTCCCATTTTTCTTAGAAATTAAATTAAATTTCGTTGTTTATATAAGAATTCACATTAAAGTATTATAACAAATTTTGTTGAATCTCTTTTAATGTTTAGTAAAAAATAAGAATAAATTTTTTAAATCAAATATTCGGAATGACTGAGAATAAATAGTGTCCCATTTTCATACCGGTTCTATGATATCGCCCTCTGCATACCGTGCTTTAGATAATTATATTAACATAAACTTATAAAATTTAAAATTATATAATAATATTTATATAAATATTTTAATAATAATTTAAATTTTATTATTATTATAGAATTTTTTATTAAAATTATATTATATATATTTAATATATAATATATAATATATTTGATATATAATTATATATAATGAAAAAATTATTATTACAATTTCATAAAAATATTGTATACATTCATATAAACATCATCAATTATGAAAGTTGAATATATATATTTAAAAATATTACAAAATTTATAAAAATTACAATTAAATATCGTCATTAGTTATGCATAAAAAAAGTAAATTTTACAGTAATATTAATAACAATATACGTTATTGATATTAAAAAACTCCGCATTATTTAACAATTGTTAATTAGTATATTTTACATAAATATAATAAATTTAATTCATGTTTAAAAGTTAGTCCAAATTTATCAGAATATATTATTTGAATGTATGTAGGAACTTTAAATAGAGACTTATTAATTATATTATGAAATTAAACTCTAAAATAATTTAACAATTGATGTTTATGAATAATATAATAATTGAATAAATAAATTATATTGTAACAAATAATTTTTTAAATCAAATATATAATTTAATGAAAAAGATAAAAAATACAAGTCAACATAGAATATTTATATTTCTTTAAATAAAAATTAGAAAAATAATTAGTTTTCTTTTTCATTCGTGAAGAATATAATATAAAATTCATGTTTATATATTTTTCAATAAAAACTTAATATTAAAACTTTATTATAATAAAAATATTCCTTCTTTTTAAATAATCATAAAGATATAACTGCAAGAGTTTTTTATATGATCATTTTAAATAATTTTTTAAAATGATCATTTTAAATTACTTATTAAATAAATTAAATTATAAAAAAAAGTGTTATATACAAACATTTCATATTGAAGAAGGACTAACTTTAATATATATTAATTTTTATGATGGTAGATATACATATAAAGATTAATTATTCTTTTAAATAAAATAATATAGTTTATTATTTTCTATATTTTTAAAAATGATTAATTTATGAGATTTTTTTTTAATTTTATAAAATTTAATATGTAACAAAATAAGAATAAAAAAAACATTGATTTACATTTCATTTTATCATATACATATAGTAATTCACAGTGAAAATCAACTACTATTCAAAACGGAATAATTTTTTTAGACCAAATAAATTGAATTTTTTTTGAGAAGCTAGAAAGATTTGAAAATGCTAGAAATTTATTAGTTAATGTATAACAATTTTTTAAAAATTTTTTAAAATATATTATTAATTGGAATTGCGAAAAAAAAAATAAATCTCAATTATTAACTTTTTTATTTGAGCCTATAAAAAATTTAAAACATATATTTTATATATCAATCTAAGTAAATTATACATTCATAAAGTTTCAAAATCAATTAATGCATAAAAAAAATTATATTGAAAAATGTAAACATTTTTAGATTTATTAGTTAAAAGTCGAAAATCGTGAAAAATTGCGAATTTGAATATGTTTGATCTTTTGTAACTCATAATTAATGAAATTTTGATAAAATTTTATGCATATAACTTATTTAATCTATTTAATGTACAATTTTATTTAATCTACAAATACTTGTTTGTTAGATTTAACTTATTTAGATTATATTTACATTTTATTAATATTTTAAAAATTTTTTAAACTTGGATAAAAAATTAAAAATTATAATCTTTACTTTCTTTCTTATGATTTTGACCAATAATAATTTTTTTAATTTTTAATAAATTAATATCTAATTAATATCTTTCGAATATGTTTCTAACATCTAAAAAGATTCAATTTAATTTGTTTAATTCAATTTTTAGAAAATTTTTCCATTGATAAAGAATAACTGATTTTCACTACGAACAACTTTATTTTGAAACTGATGTTCATATGTTCTCTCTCTCTGTATATATATATCTACAGAAATATATATATATATATAATATCACATAAAAATTATTCAATTTAATGATATTTTGCTAAGTAATAAAGATTAGATATTTTTTTTCTTTTTTACATTTCAGATTCCTTTTTTCATTAAAATTGATTAACATTTATTTATTAAATTAAAAGAAATTTAATCTTATTTCAACATAACAAAATCAAAAATATAATTTGATAAAAATAGAACTGTTATTCTATTTTCGTTTCATTTTATGTAATGCAAAATTATGTAATACAAAAATTGTTTATAATTTAATAAATAAACTTCATCAAACATTTTTGTATATCAACTTTTGTTTAGTTTCCATAATTACTATCAAATTTTCTATTTACTTCATTCCTTTATATGTATTATATATTTTTATCAATTTATTTATATATTTTTAAAAATTGTCAGATCAATGAAATTAATATATGTGACTAGAATCACAATTATAATTTTTTTTTTATTGAATTTTTATTTTTTGATCTAAAAATGATCATAATGCGGCAGGACTAACACGTGAATGTGTGTTAGCTGGTGATACAGGACTTCCGTGAATTTCTAAATCGAATTCAGAATTAGATAAACTATTTCTCATGACTCTATTCCATCGATTTGTATTTTCGTTTAATCTAATTAAATGTTGATTTGCATCTACATCAGTAGATCGTTCACAAGCACGAAGCATTTCTTGTTGAATAATTATTTCATTAGTTATATATGCTTCGCGTCGAATTTTATCTCTTAACTTCGGATTCATATCGGGAATACACCATCGTACTAATATCATTACAAGAGCAACAATATTCTGGAAAATATTGATTTTATTAATAATTAAATTAAAACTTTTAATTTAAATTAATTTCAATGATAATAATACCTCAAAAACAACAATGAAAGCTAATCTTGCCGCAAGTACATGCCAAAACATAATAGTATATTGATATTTATTTGATGAATCAGGTGGTTCCCTATAATCTGGATATCTACATATTTCAACTCGTTGAGATGTTGAAAATGGTTCAGTACCGTTTTTTAAATCACTTGTATTAAACTTCGAAAGAGAATGATCTAGAAATCCTTCTAGAGAATAATTATCAGAGACAATTATTCGATAAACTAATCTAGGTATAAAGTTCGAAGTAAAAGCTATAATGAATGCCTAAAAAATTTCAGTTATAAATATATCAAAAATTGTATTTTTTTTATATAAGATATTTTTTATAAGAAATCTTCAATTATTAAAACTTACATTAGTTATAACAGATAATTTAGAAATGGAATCTAAAATACGGTACCATATGCCTATATCAGTAACACGTTGTCCAACTGGTCTTCTATACATTGTTAACAATTTTTTCGCATCTAATCGCATTTCAAAAACATTATTCAATAATGCAAAAAATGGTGCTAATGGAAATGCAGCAACGAAGATAGTAACAAACCCATATTGTAGCACTGTAACATATAAAATATTAAGATTTAAATATATTTAATCACATGATTTAATTTATTTCAACAAATTTAATACCGATACCCATTTCTAAATATTCGGGAAATAAACTTCTTGGACCCCATTCCACTAATTTATAATCCTTAACCCATTGGAGATATTTTCTAGTAGTAATTTTTCTTTGTCCATCTTCTGTTGTCATTCCAACATGTACTTTTAAAGTATTTAGCCATTTGTAAAATAATGGAAACAACATTTCTAATATCGTATTCATGGCCTGCTTGCCAATCATAATAATGCTTAGTTGTATGCATAATTCCATAAGGCAACCACCAGGACCACATTCTTCTTGTCGATAATGAAAGAAGCGATTATAATTTCCAGGATAACCAACGAATTTTCCTTTAAAAAATGCTATATAAAATATGGAAGCATAATAGTTAACAAATTCGAGTAGATATATTTTTAATGTTAAACTATCATCAAATTCAGTTTGGGTTCGAAGTAGTTCGATCTATAAAAATGAAAATATATTTTATAAAAAAACAAATTAAAAATAATAATTTATGAATAAAGATATATTGTTATTATGATATAAAATACCTCTGTTAAATATTCAGCTAACCAAACATAAACCCAATTAAATATTATAATGCAACACAAATTAATACTAGCAGCAGTAGCTGTAGTAAATAGTATTGCATAACTTGTTACCATAGGATGTCCATAAACACTTAAAGCAGTCAAAACAGACATTCTATATAAAACGACGCCTAAGACAGCGGCCATTGCTATTGCAATCTAAAATAAATGTACATAAAAATAAATTTAATAATTTTAATTTTTTCCTAATTTTTACAAACCAGCAGCAAAACGACAGAGAAACTGAGAATTGTAGCAGGAACTCTCATCTTCCAAAAGGGAACTTTTGGTTCTTCTGCATTTGTGATAACATTGAGCGATTTTTTTTTTATATGTGCTAAACGTGCTAAGTACTGAGGTCGAGGATGTTCCTCTTGAGCATCTAAACCAGTCAAATCCCATTTATGAGTAATTTCTGCTGAATATCGTTTCCATAATTCCAAAAACAATGTAGCTAGTAAAAAATAATAAAAAAAATAGTAAAATATATATTATATATTTTATATAACAATTATATATATATATATATATATATATATATATATATATATATA